GAGATGAGGAACTGTGCAGTGCTTTATCAGACGGAAACCTGGCTAAAAGACAACATGCCTGACCCAGCTTTACACATCGACGCCCTTGGAGGCGGACTATGCGTCTATATCAACAAAGGTTGGTGTACAAATTACACTCTGGTAGACAGCCATTGCTCAGAGGCAATAGAGCATATGACTGTTAAATGCCGACCACATTATCTCCCACGCGAGTTTACGGCAGTGTTTGTTGTCGCTGTTTACATCTCGCCGGATGCTAAGGGTGCTAAGGCTAACATAGCGCTAACGGAGCTGCACGCTAACATTAGCTCGCTCCCGCACAAGCACCTGGAGACGTTCCACGTGGTTGCAGGGGATTTCAACCACATAAACCTGACAGACACCCTGTCTAAATTCTACCAGCATGTCAATATACCGACACGGGGAGATAACATGCTGGATCGTGTGTACAACCAATAAGAGAGACTCCGACCATATCTCCATCATGCTGGTGCATGTCTATCGCCCCCTGCTCAGACACCACGCACCCACACAGAGAACCATCACCGTGTGGCCCAGTGATGCTGTCCCCACACTGCAGGACTGTTTCCAGTGCACGGACTGGCAGATCTTCAGGGAAGCAGCTGTCCATGACGGAGAGGTAGACTTGGAGGACTACACAGCTGCTGTCCTTGGATACATAGGTAAGCATGCCGAGAATGTAATCATCACCCGAACTGTAACCGATGATCGGAAACCATGGCTGAATGCAGAGGTCAGATCTCTGCTGAAAGCCAGGGATGCTGCTTTCAGGTCCGGTGAAAGAGTTGCACTCGGAGTGGCGAGGAGAAAGTTGAACGCCGGTGTGAAGAGGGCCAAGGCCGCATACACTCGGAGGATCCAGGGTCAGTTCTCGTCCATCCGTGAAGTATGTGGAGGGGAATCAAGTGCATCACAGATTATAACACCAGAGATGCACAATGGACCCCTCTCTGCCCGATGCTCTTAACAGATCCTACGCCCGCTTCGACGATCCGAACATCCCAGCACCAGGCTTGCCCCTCCACCAGGAGAAGAGCTGCTCAGTGTGACCACAGCAGAGGCGAGGAGGACCCTCCAAAGGATCAACCCACGTAAAGCTGCTGGTCCCGACAACATTCCTGGGTGGCTGCTGAGGGACTGCGCACACCAGCTGACGGGGGTACTGATAGACATCTTCAATACCTCCCTCCAACAGGCGACAGTCCCCACCTTTCTGAAGACTGCCACAATCATCCCTATTCCCAAACCGTCCACAGTGACAGGCCTGAATGACTATCGGCCAGTAGCCCTCATCCCGATAGTCATGAAGTGCTTCGAAAGACTGGTCATGGCCCGCATTAAGGATTCTATCGACGTCACTGAGGAGCTCTGTTTGTCCGCCTCCCCTCAGGAAGACGTCTACGGAGCATCAAAAGCAGGACCACCAAACTGAGGAACAGCTTCTTCTCTGAAGCCTTTTCCCCCACTGCACTACCTACAGTGGGGGAAATAAGTATTTGACCCCTTGCTGATCTTGCAGGTTTGCCCACTTACCAGAAATTCACATCATATGAATTTATAAAAATTGATAACCATCTGATGAGGAAAAACAAGTATTTGACCCCCTACCAAACAGCAAGTATTCTGGCTCTTACAAGCCAGTTTGTCTTTCTTTAAGACACATCTCCAATCCCAACTAATTATCTACATCAAATACACCTGCCTCACCTTGATACCTGTATAAAAGACACCTGTCCACACCCAAACAACCAGCATCCAACGTCTCCACCATGGGCAAGACCAAAGAGCTTTCTACGGACATCAGGGACAAGATTGTTGACCTGCACAAAGGCTGGGATGGGCTACAAGAGAATCGGAAAGCAACTTGGAGAGAAAAGATCAACTGTCGGTGCAGTAATCAGGAAATAGAAGAAGCACCACACCACCGCCAACCTCCCTTGATCTGAGCCTCCACACAAGATCTCGCCTCGTGGGGTGTCCCTGATCATACAAACTGTGAGGAGTCATCACAAAACCACAAGGGAGGAATGAATCAACTGAAGGCAGCTGGGACCACAGTTACAAAAGAAACAGTTGGTAACTGTTGGTGTACTCCGGTTGCCAAGCAACGGCATTGCCAGACTCACTGTTTGTGTTTCTGTGCAATGACAATAAAGAGTCGAATAAAGAAGGTCTAAATTATCGACAATTCCATCACGCTAAAAGAACTAGTGATGAGCTAGAACCTTCTGCAGGATAATTGGTAATATAGTACGCTGCCAAGTGATTTTCAAGTGCTGTAGATGAATTACATACTCCACAAGGGGTTGGTGCAGTGTTAATCTCATCACAACCCATTAAGACTATCAACATGTCTGGTTCGCTGCATCGTCCATGCAAAAAAAAAAAAAAAACACAAACTGAAAACCAAAACAGACAGTTGTAAAATAACAAGAAAAAATGTGTATGTTGATATAACAGAACGGTAGATGTCAAGAACCTCCTAAATACTTTCACTGGATATTTAATTTCTTATACCATTTTAACTGCTCATTATTACAAATAGGTCAGAGTTTTAAGACCTGGTCAAATGACTTGCAGTAGAACAGTAAGTGAAGTGACTTTGAATATGATGTGAACGTTAGTGCCAGATGAGATGGAAGAAGTATAAGCTGAACCTGAATATAGATAAAAACAAACTACAGAAGTCTTAGCAAAAATGTTTTGGATGAAACCTTATCTTGAATTATAAACAAGGTCTGCACAATGGCACGTGTGATGCTCTCCTAAAACATGTCTATCAAATGGTTAGAGTAGGTCAAATGGCAGCCAAAAACAAATACATTTCAAACCATTAAGTCTCAAATTTGTCAAATGTTGAAGTTAAAGTTATTAAAGAATAGTTTAAATTAGACAAAAACTAGCGAAAATGCATGCAATAAGAAAATGTTTCTTCACCAACAGAATTAATCATAGCACAGCCATAGGTCTATGGTAAAAAAAGTAATCATGTTAAGGCTATAAAAATGTAAAATTACATTCAGAAGCACACCAAAACTTTTCCAAGGTACACAAGTCACCTTTTGAATCATACTGAGTCAATATCAGGGTATAGAAAGGTGCAACAGACAAATTTCAACAACAGAGCAACAATATCATGTACTTAAATTCAAGACTATCTGCCAACCTTTGACGCATTCAGAGATAAGACACGTGATGAATTCATGAAATATAGGAACATTTGAAGGGCTAATTTGAAGTTAGGAGTCTATTTATAGAAATAAAGACCTTTCATTACTTTCTTACTGCCTCATGTTCCAATACATATCCACATAATATCCATGTATCTTAGGCTAAATATAACAGGGAGACATTCCTTTTGTAAAATGATCTAACATCAAATTGGCTTGTTTTAGTGTCTCCTTATGTGCCAGCTTTGCTCAGTGCTGCTGCATGTTTACTTTGGAGACATGCTCCATTGTCACACAGACAAGGGCACATACAAAGAGAGAGACAGAGAGACATATTGACTGTTGCTGGACTGCTGCATAATGGGACCACTTCCCTGAAACTCTCCTTGCTTTGTGTAAATTTCAAGGCATCGTTAACACCTGCTGTGACTTTAAGTGTGATGCTAACTGCTGTTTGAACAGAATTTACAGTTTACTGGTGGTCTGTCAAGTAAGGACAGTGGCATGGAGGGGTACTTAGGGGCTGTTAGAGGGAAAGGGGGAGTTTGTTGACATTTCCCAGGCAGTTGCTTTTACTTTTGCTGTTGCTTTGTCGGCATAGATTTCCAACAAGGAGCCTCAAACTCATTTATTTTCTGCAGCACTGTGTTCTCTTGCCAACACTTGTCAGTGTGTCTTTTTAGTGACTGAGTTGAGCTGAAGGCTGCTGGAAAACCATGAGCATACACAAGTATAAAAGTAAAAAAAGAGTTAAATTTAATGCAACTTTTTAAGTAATTTATCAGTAAGTACCATTAGCAAGATCTGCAGAAATAATCTCTAGAAGGATGGAAAGCATAAACCTATCTACAAGGGATCCTTGACTTACGTCAGAGTTCCATTTCTACAATGTGACTTTTCTCTAAGTCTGAACTCACATAGTGAACAGTACCTAGTACCTATGTCACTCGACTACTGTTACACAGTTCTAACGTCATAATCTAAAACATAAAAACATCAGAGGAGTCTGACTTAGGCTTGGGAGCCAGAATAAAGGGCAAAAATGTCCCCCAAAAACAACAAACACAAAATAAAGGGAATGAAGCACATTCCAATGTGTGGTGTATAATTGACAAATGTTAAAGTTGTCTGCCATGTGAAGTGTTGCGTGACGCCATATTCATCCACTCGGTTCACCAACTAAAGATTGTGACACTTTCCTGATTGGTCAGAGAACTTGCGACATTCATATACATTCAATTTTTAAGCCCACAATACTAGTTTAAGAGGATGAAGTAAAAGTGGTTAAAAATAAACAGAACACCAAGACAGGCGACACACATACACATTGATGAATGAAGTTCTTTCCACAGAAAAACATTATTGTTGTTGTTAAAATTTGATTGGAATCCTTTCTTGTATAAATACAGGTAACAGCCCTAGTCGTCCCAACCATAAGTTTATTTATAAGCAGACTTTGTCAGCGTTTGCATTGACTGATACAACTATTCCGATCTCAACCAGGCTGGCAGTGAGTGAGTACAGGAGTGTAACTCTGGACTCTGGATGAGAAAAGTGCTGTGTAAATACAGATGTTTGAATATGTTACACACCTCCTCAGACCCTAGCCTCCTACAGATGACATTGTTACCTACAGTAAATACTATTACAGTGTAGGAGTACAAGTGCCAATACTGAGGAACCATTTTCTTTTGCAAGCCTCAAACTGAAGTGTAACTGTTTGGGAGGCAAGTACTGAAGCTTTAGCTGCACAGGAAGGAAGGAGGATGCTCAACGATGACAATCACATTGTGAATCATGTGACCAGTAATGTTTTTAGTTTAAAATATAAGAAAGGTATGGTTTTGTGTGTGTGCACAGAATTAGTATTAAGAAAATATGAACTGCAGACCTTTGCAAACATTCACTGCTCTACTGAAAGATCTATAAAAGTTCTGGCACAGCTTCTCACAGCTTCCTAAGGATGAAGACAATGTGACTCTTCTACAGCCCAAAGAGCAAATGTAAGTTATATATATACAGTCCCCTCCAAAAGTATTGGAACGGCAAGGGCAATAACTTTGTTTTTGTTGTATAGTGAAGACATTTGCGTTTCAGATCAAAAGATGAATATGAGACAAAAATTCAGAATTCCAGCTTTTATTTTATGGTATTGACATCCAGGTGTGTTAAACAACTCAGGACTGAGCCCCTTTTCTTTGAACCCACCCACACTTTGGTAGCTATAAATTCTATTTACAGTAGACATGTAAAAAATTGTATTATGTTAAAGTAGAGTCCCTATAAAACATTAAGTCGGTTCCATAGTGTAGCGGTTAGCACGCCTGCCTTGGAAGCAGAGAGTCCTGGGTACAAATTTATTTTTATTTATTTATGTTTATCTCTGACATGAAGTGACTTTTAGAGGCGAATCACATGCAGCCAGTTTTGTTTAACCCTTGTAAAGTCTAGGTGACCCCCTGGTCACCTAGATCCAATATGTCTTTGTGTCTGTGTGTGTGTGCGCATGTTCCTGTATTGCATGACTTGTGCCAACTTTTCCTCATATTCATTAATACTCATATTCTGGGACAAGATGAAAATCATTGCAAGGACAAACGGTGTGTACAAAAATGTGAAGGACCGCACAAGGGTTAAATGAAGATGTGAATGGTAATGAGCGCAAGCTTAAAAATGTGAGGCATGAGAGCTTTTTAAACTTGTGACATCATTATTTATGATCAACAAATTCACCCTTGCCATGGTTTTGGTGACATTAAGCACAGCCCTGGTTTAATTGTCAGTGTAATTAAACCAGTGTAATTGGAAAAGTGAATGAGTAAATTCTGGAGGTGGCTGGTGTAATAGTGGTATCACTTGAATGAGAAAGAGTTTAGTAGAGCGGACGCTGGCATGAATGTTGCCGCTGCTCACCGGCTATTTGTGTTTTTTACTTTATTTTTTTTATTAAAAGGCATTCTCTCAGCTTCACAGCACCAAAAATAAACCAAACCAAAGTTCTGCCTCTTAAACTCCGGCACTTTTGTCCACAAGTGCACGGGCTAACACTGTTAGCTGAGGCTAACTTCGGTAGCTGAGGCTAAC